CCCCCCCCCCCGTTGCTACGACCCTGAGAAGTAATAAACCGACGATTTGTTAAATGTTATCCATGTAAATGCCATGATTTCGTAAATCTGTTTATACTGACAATACAATTATATTATATTTTCTCTGATTAACAACTAAAATTATGTTATACTATTATTGCCGTAATTTTCCGAATAGCCAACCTGATTTTCCGAATATGTTAATTTTAAAAAAGTTGGGGTTTAACTACCCCCCCCCCCAAAAAAAAAAAAATACCCCCTCGCTATGGCCCTGACGCAAAGTGAAACCTGAGTGAACAGGATAATCTTTAACCAGTTATCACCTTGACCCTTGGGCAACCTTGGGCATTATGAGCAATGTGCACTGTCACAAGGACAGTCAGAGCAGCAAAAAACTAGATAGTCGTCCGATGCTATAGTCAGTTATTTCAAACTACAACTAGTGAGTTAATCTTTCAGAATCCCGACAAGACGTATAAGCTACTTTTGTTTATTCATGTAAACGAATCTAGTCCCGAACATTATTCAAACACCCAGAAAACACAAAACTGAAAGTATAACGTCGAGCCGCGGGCTATCGATTCTTATTGAACTGTAATGACCCACAATAAAAACTTCTTTCTTGGCCCTTAATCTGATCTCCTTCGCATGCTGCATCTCTATAGAAGTTACTCTGGTAGTCTGGTGGTAGTCTGGTGGTAGTCTGGTTACTGTAGTTTTACATGAAAAACTGCACAGGTGACCCTGTATTACTAGAGACGCCTGAAGAGGCGGCTGCCTTGAACCTATATATATAATATTCCAGGTTCATGTTAAAGATTGGTAGTTGTCCTCCACATCTCTGGTTTTGCTCAACTCAGTGTAAGTAGAGTCCTCGTCATTTGCGGCATTAACTCTTAATGATTGATAATTATTATCTTCTGTGTTCATTTTAGAAAGATCAAGCTCTTGATAAGTTGTATCAACTTTAGTTGTTTTTGGTTCAAGGGTTGATTGAGGTTCTCTATTTCTAAATTTACGACCAGAACACGAGACAATATTATAAGAAAGAAGAATTCCAATGATAATCCCAGACACCAATATTACCACAACCATATACCATACAGTTCCACTACGATTCGCTTCTAAAGCTGCTTTTCCTGAAAATTAAGAAGAACACAGTTACCGATATGGGTTTAGCAATTTTCTAAACAATTTGTTTCTACACGTACTGTACTGCATGGGTGTCTCAAAAAAGTTAAAAAGAAAACAAACATTATACTTTCTGAACCATGTTGGGAGAAGAATACCACCTTACCTGCTCCGAAACCCTTTGTAGTTGGAGCATTCGTTGTTCGTGTTACTGGAAATGAAATCACATTGTTAAGAGTCTATTTGCCTACTGTAGTTATATTTTAAGCTTGATGGACTACATGCAGTATTACTTATTAAAAGTAATTCAATCACAGAAAAAACTATATGTCATAGTTACCTACGACAGACAAACTGCATGAATGCCTTTGAACTATTTCCAAGTATACTTGTTGCAATACATCTATATGACCCAGCATCACTGAATTCCAACACTGTTATTATATATGTATTGTGAGTACTGACGATCTCAGTATACTGTTATGGATTATGGTATAACTTGGTAAAGGCACAGCTATAGGTTCACACGTTATGACGACTGATTCACCAAATCGGACATTTTCTGGAGTCGACGTAAGGCTTATCACTGTAGGTGGAACTGAGTCTAATAAGATACAAACTCTTTATGCTAAATGATAATTTCTTCTTTTTGCACTGCAGAAGATCTGAGTTTATACTGTTAGAAAGCTTTAATTGCACGCCTTCTCAATCAGCGAAAATTTAGGCTTTCGGTCACTTGTTATAGGTAAGCTTTTTTCCTATAAAATGCATATTCCTACTATACTATTTGAGATATATTCACAAATATTTTGAAAACGATATTAATGGGATAAACGACATGTTGGCTTAGCCTAGTGGTTTCGTTTAAAACGTTATATATTATCATGTAATTCTATACTCACAATAAACAATTATTTCGATTGACTTTTCATCTGTTAGAGTGTGGCTTTTGGCTACACATTTGTAAGTTTCACTGAGAGTTAATGTTTGTTCTTCTTTTCCAGTTCCCCCCATCTGGACGCCATCTTTATCATGCCAAGTTACATTGGCTGGAGGATTTCCACCTTTACCTCTACATAGACATGTGACATTGTCACGCTCATTTACTGTGATAGGACTGGAACAACTCAATGTCACAGTTGGTTTCTCTGAAATGTAATGAAACTATATGTAAGACTTTAGAGAATCATTCTGTAAGGTTAGAGTGCAACTCAAGATATATATAGTATGAAAGATTTCTACTGCAGATCGGGCCTCAATGTCTTATTCACGTGTATGGACCTGCATTTTCCACTATGTTTAATAATGCCAAGAAACAAGGGATAATAGAAATATGTTAGTCATACAAGAATACTGCGGATTGAGAGAGATTCAACTATCTGAAAAATAGTAAGTACAACTTAAATGTATTTTACTCTTAAACGTTTTTACTGACAAAACGCGTGAAGTAAAACTCGTTTTGTTAGATAGATGAATCCCTCTTAATCCGCAGCTTTCTGGTGTTATTGCCACTATCCCATCATCATCAATCAATTTTATTTAAATAAAAAACACGCTAGCCTCGCACAACTAAAAGCGATTTACAGGAGGGGCTTGATATATAAAACAGTAAAATTTATAGAATATTATATAAACCCCCAACCTCCCCCCACCCCTAGAACAAAGAAAAATAAAGTGAAGTAAAGAGAATTAACTATAATTGAGTCAACATGGTTCAAAAAGGACAGTTCCGCAATACTATGCAATTTAAAAATTGACGGAGCGAAGTCACTCCTTTTGCATCTAATGGAAGATTATTCCACAGCATGACGCACGATATTTAAAGCTTCGCTTCAAAAACTTAGTTTTTGGTTTTGGAAGTGCTAGATCCGTTTCCTGATTTCGTAAATTATGGCCTCTATTAAGTTCTCTAGAAGTCTCACGAGGCTTTCCCTTAAACATGGCGAACAAATTTCATTAAGGACTTTATACATTATAGGATACTCTTCAACTTAGCCCGCCTAACATGTAAATTATCCCATCCTAAACCTTCCAAAAGATCACTTGATCTAATCCTATCAACATATCTTGCTTCAGTGATAACTCTAGCCGCACGATTTAGTATAGTATTTGCAATTTATCTTTTAATATTTTATCGCATGTATCCCACAGGGGAGAGCAATAATCAAAATACGGCTGAATTAATGATTTGTATCTACGCTGGCACAGATCGTTCTACATGTAGATAGCCATACAAACCGATATTTGGAAATCCTAAAATTAAACTATTTTAGTCAAGGCTGCAGCTTGCACAAGATGATTGCTCGCCATGTAAATAGAATATTTTCAAAATTAAGATATTTGTATAGATGTTGTTTGGCCATGCCAAACCATACTCATGCATGCAACTCGCTGGAACCAATGAAAGTAGTAAAACAAACTTTGAAAAATCAGAAGTTATACTTTGTCAAAACGTACTTGCAATAATAACAACAACTTCAGATAAATATGACTGCAGAGGATATTGATTTCGAAGGAGGAAAATAAATATTTCATTATACGTTTCATCGACATTCTTTAAAACCAATGTTGCTGGCTTTTCTATTTCAAACCTGGGTATTAAGGTGGTGTTTTTCGGTTCGGGGTCACGATCTAGAAATAATACTGTAAGTTCTCCTAGTTGTGAACTCTCACTAGTTTTGAAATACCAAACTCGAAGATTCACTTTAGATATATCACCAACATATGACCAATCTATTTTCACGGTTGATCCAGGTAGAAATATCAACTTGGTCCCATTAGATGGTGGTTTAACTTGTCCTATTACAAAAAATTAATATCTCATTTTTTAAAGGTTGAGTAATCAAATATGTGTGGATTAATCACGATATAACAACAAAAGAAAATAAAAGTTGTAAAAAATGTGAATATAAAGTTTTACCTTCACATGGAAACAACATGCAACTGAGACCAAATAAAATAAGAAAGCGAAACCCAGTCATTTTATGGAAGTTAAACCTGCATAAAAAGTAATACAATTAAGAGATATTGCTTTTTATTTTGGAATGAAAGATTCTATACGACTATGTTGAGGCTAGCTCAACACTTCCGGTCAGTGATCGAAGTTTAGCGAGTTTCCGGTGAACATCCGGGGTTTTCGACGAACATAAAACGTTTTTGTTGTTTTGTTTCGAAGGATTATAGTTGGACTTTAATAGTAAAACACTAGCTTTAATACGGGATTATCGACATTCGGTAAGACATTTAAAGTTTGATTATGTATTTCTGTCCTTTATGTGAGCATTTTGTCATGTAAGAACTGTAAATTGTTTGTAAATTTACGTATATATTTAGTGTATTTTATGTATTTTCATATTTTTGTTAGAATAAAACAAAGTCAGACAGAAACGTCAATTGTCACATTCGGGTCGATACAAAATAACAAGCAAAGAAAGCGTATAGGGTCAAAGCACCTATACATAGTTTTATTCGAATGATCAGCCAACCATATGCGAGTTCTAGTCGAAGCACGTAGAAATTCCTGTGGTTTTCGCCTGATGTTTATTTAAAATTGTATACAACGCTTTATGAATACCTGTTAAAGTCAAGTGAGTTTATACTTATTTTGTTTATATTGGACTTGTGTTAACTGGATCAACTACGACTAAAGTAAATCAACATTTGGATATTTGTTTGAATAAATCAACATTTGGATATTTGTTTGAATAAATCAACATTTGGATATTTGTTTGAATAAATTAACATTTGGATATTGGATCAACTACGACTAAAATAAAT